ATGGGTGCTGGGAACTGAACCTGGGTCCTCTGCAAGAACAGCCAGTGCTGGTAACCATTGAGCCAGCTCTCAATTCCCTGCATTTTTTGTCTCACTATATAGCCCCAGCTAGCCTGAAACTCCCTACATATGTAGACCAGGCTGGCATCAAACTCATAGCGATCTGCCTGCCTCTGGAGTGCTGGTATTAAAGTTGTATACCACCATACCCTGCCTCCACCTCGTTTGAGAGAGGGTCTTTCTTGTGCAAGCCGCCCATCTCTACTTCCACAGCACTGGGAGTACAAGCAGGCATCACCATGACCGGCTTTTCTTATACAGGCACTGGGGATCAATCTCATGTTCTTGTGCTTACAAGGCAAGCACTTTACCAACTGAGCAATCACTTCTGCTCCAATCCTGTTGTCTTTTTCTTTTTTTGTGACAGGGTGTCACTATGTACCTTTGCAAGCCTAGAACTTGATATGCAGACCAGGTTGGCCTGAACTCATAAAGATCTGCCTACCTCTGCCTCCCAAGTGGAGGGATTAAAGGTGTGTGTTATCACATACATACAGCCTTTCTATTTAAAAAAAAAATTTTTTTTTGGTCTTTTTGAGACAGGATCTCCCTGTAGCCCCAGCTGTCCTGGAACTCACTATGTAGACCAGGCTGGCCTTGAACTCAGAGATCCACCTGCCTCTGCTTCCCGAGTGCTGGGATTATAGGCGTGTGCCACCACACCCGGCTTCTATTTTTAAACTTTTTAAATGTATTTTTATTTCACGTATGCCTGGGATGGGCAGGAAACCAAGGTTGAGCCACCAATTATCTTTTCTATTTAGTACTTAAAAATGACTCCACTTTTAAAACTGGCAAGAGTTCTAGAAGGCTGCCAGGATAGTAAGATCGAGAATGTTGTGAATTGGTTGCTTTGGTTTTTTTTTTTTCTTCTGGTCTTTTTTGAGACAGGGTCTCCCTGTAGCCCCAGCTCTCCTGGAACTTGCTCTGTAGACCAAGTTGGCCTTGAACTCGGAGATCCACCTGTCTCTGCCTCCTGAGTGCTGGGCCTAAAGGTGTGCACCACCACATCCGGCTTGACAGTTGTAATGTAGGTAAATTCCACAAAGATTTATTTACAAACTCAACACCAGAGAAGCCCCATGAGTGTGGGCTTTTTGTTAGGTTGTTGAACAAATTGCTTCTATCAGGTACTGAGAAGGACAATGGATAGTCTCAGTATTTACCCACAGGGCCTATCACCTTGTCAGAATCAACACAACTAGATTATTTCATCCATAAAATGAAGGTCAAAGCCACATCTACCAGTGGAGAAACACTCTGTACATAAACTCCAAGCTTCACATACCCCAGAACTAAATGGGGGAAAAAACCAATAAATCCAGAAGTGAAGGCATTTCCAAGCAACAGAAAGTCTTTCTGGCCAGCTATGATGGTACATGCCTTTAATCCCAACATCCCAACATTCTGGAGGGCAGAGGTAGGCAGATCTCTGTAAGAGTGTTATCAGTCTGGTCTATACTTCGAGTTCCAAGTTAGATGGGGCTACAGGAGACTCTATCTCAAAAAAGAATAAAAAAGGGGGCTGGAGAGATAGCTTCATGGTTAAAAGCACTGGCTGCTCTTCCAGAGATCTGGGTTTGGTTCCCAGCACCCACCTACATGGTAGCTAACAACTGCAGTTCCAGAAGATCTGACACCCTCTTCTGGCCTCTGCAGGCATTGCAGGACATGGATGCACTTATATACATGCAGGCAAAACAGTCATATAACAGAAAAACAAATTTTTTTTGGTCTTCCTAAGACAGGGTTTCCTGTAGCCCCAGGTGGCCTGGAACCCACTATGTAGACCAGGCTGGCTTCAATCTCACAGAGATCCACCTGCCTCTGCCCCGAGTGCTGGGATTAAAGGTGTGCGCCTCCACGCCCAGCAACATAAAAAATCTTTTAAAAAAATGTAAAGTCTTTCTTTTGCTACAATCCTACAGAATAACTGGAACTTTGCAGTTGCTTCTCAAGGTACAGCCATAAGTTCTTCAAGCTGTGAATACCCACTTCACAACTGCTAGTGTACAGAGCTCATGCTGTACTGTCACAGAATAGGGAAGGTGGCATTATGTCTGAATGCTCGGGAAAGGAAGATTTCATCATCAGTGGTATGGCTGGGGAATTCTGAATACCTTCTAGTGTCCATTGAGTTTTCATTTTATGGTCCCAGGAGAAAAACCCTTTTCAAAAGGATCCACCTCAAAACAGAAAAAACTGCTTCAAATGAAGTGAGCCTTTGGTTTGTAAACCAAAAATACAATGACCACGAGATGGCAGCACAAGCAAGACCGGCAGAGCACAAGAGGGTCATGGAAGTCACAAGGAGATCAAGGAGATGGGCGAGCAGGCCACTTGCCCCCCACCCTCCTGAATTCAGAGTTAGAAGACAGCAGGAGGCTCTCAGCAGGGTGTAAACCATCAGACTATATTGGTGGCAGAATTAAAACAACACACAAAAATTATGGAATGACTTGAGGCCAAGTATCTACATAGGACATTTTCCAAAACAATTCAGAATTCCTGGTGTTTAAAAGCTAAGCAAGCTTATTCCCACAATGCTTCATTTTTAAATTTCCCACGAGAATTCGAGACTTTGAAGCCAGTGATTTTGAGTCAATTCTTTTTTTGTTTTTTGAGATAGGGTCTCACTAGTAGCACTTATTGGCCAGGAACTCACAGAGCTCAGCCTGCATGTGTGTTAAGTTCACCTGTGTTGTGCAATGCCTGTGGAGGTCAGAAGATGGAACTGGATCCCCTGGAACTAGAGTTATGGAAGGTTGTTAGCTGCCATGTGGGTGCTGAGAATCAAACCTAGGTCCTCTGCAAGAGCAACCAGAGCTCTTAATCACTGTATTATCTCTCCAGCCCACTTTTTTAAAAATGTAAACTCTGAGGTCTCACCTTAGCTCAGGCAGGCCAAGGATGACCTTGAATTTCTGACCCTCCTGCCTCTACCTCCACCTATGTGCCACCAAGCGTCCTCTCCCTCTCTCTCTTCTCTTCTTTTGGGGCAGCCTTTATATTTATCCCAGACTAGTTTTGAACTTTCAATTTTTCTGCCTCAGTCTCCCCAGTGCTAGGATTATTGCAGTTCTGCACCACCACTGGTTCAATAACTTAATTTATAATACAAAGTTCAGAGTAATGGGTATTCAACAACAAACTTAATTTGATACAGATTATTTCAGGAGGCAGAGGCAGGCAGACCTCTGTGAGACCAAGGCCAGCCTGGTTTACACAGTGAGTTCCAGGTCAGCTGGGGCTCAGGGAGACCTTATCTCAAAAATAAAAAAATAAGTTAACGAATGAAGGTATGAATGGTAGGTAGTGATCAGGGAAGTCCAATCCTATGCCATTATTCCTTTTTGCTTTGTTTTGTTTTCTAAGACAGGGTTTTAGCTCAGGCTGACTTCAAACTCACAATTCTCTTGCCTCAGCCTCAAAATAGTAGGATTATAGGCATGTGCCAACCATGCCCAGCTTGTGTGCCTTTAACTTTTTTTTTTTTCTGTCTTTTTGAGACAGGGTCTCCCTGTAGCCCCAGCTGGCCTGGAACTCAGAGATCTGCCTGCTTCTGAGTTCTGGGACTAAAGGTGTGCACCTTTAATGTTTTTTTTCCCCTAAGGTCTTGATATGCAGGCAGTAGCTGGCCTGGAACTTGCTATGTAGCCACTTGACCTCAAGCTTGTGGCAATTCTGTTTCTTCCTTGAATGCACTGCTGTATGCATGCATGCCCGCCCGCCCGTCTGTCCGTCCATCCATCCATCCATCCGTTTGTAAAAGGGTTTCATGTAGCTGCCCTCAAGTTTGTTATGTAGCCATCGGAGTCCTCATCCTCCAGCTTCTATCTCCCAAGTGCCAGGATTACAGGTGCACTACTATGTCTAGCTTCTAGACCCTCCTTTATTAAACTGAGTTCTTAGGCTCAAATGTAACTGGGGAATGTAGGTTAAAACAATGAGTTAGAGTGGGGCGTGGTGGCCCATGCCGTTAGGCACAGCACTGGGGAGACAGAGGCAGGTGGATCTCTGTGAGTTCAGGGTCAGCCTGGTCTAAAAAGCAGTTCCAGACCAGGGAAACCCTGTCTCAAAAAGACCAAAACAAACAAACAAACAAACAAACAAACAACATTGAATTAGGATTCCTGGTGTTTGCTATTTAAAGGAGTGGTGAGTGGCCCATTTTTGCTGGAAGGTCCTAGCTGTAACACTTCTTATGCCCTGACCACTATTTTTCAGACTACCTTAAAGTTTTGGGAGTTAAGAATTGATATTCTGTGGGCTGGTGAGTTAGTTCAGCAGTTAAGAGCACTGGCTGCTCTTGCAGAGATTGGGGGTTCAATTCCCAGCATCTACATGGTGGCTAACAATCCATAACTCCAGTTCCAGGGGAATCTGATGCCCTCTTCTGACCTCTGGGGGCAATGCACAACACAGGTGCACTTTCACATGCAGGCAGTGTGTGCGAGCGCGCACATGCGCGCGCGCACACACACACACACACACACACACACACAAAGAACTAATATTCTAGGGCTAGAGTGAAGGCTCAGTTGTTAAACACACTTGCTGCTCTTCCAGAAGACCTAAGTTTAGTTCTCAGCACCCACATCCAGTAGCTCATAACGACCAGGGAACACAATACCCTCTTCTGACCTCCAAGCACATCTTCATGTGTGGCATATACAGATAGACACACATATGCATTAATTTCTATACGTGTGTGTGTGTGTATATATGTGTGTGTGTGTGTGTGTGTGTGTATATATCCCATCTTTTAAAAAAAGGTTGAGGTCTTATTGTAAAAACACTGAAGTCTATCCAGATAAAAGTCTATGTTTATGTTTTAAAAGGAAACTAGGACTGTGTAGCCAAAGAATCAACCCTAGGGAATAAAGAACTAGCCCACAGTCATACATCCTTGTGCACTCCAACTGAGCCGTATTACTTACACAATGTGATGAATCTTTTCTGATTCTGGTAGCTGAGAGGTCGATGTTTCTGAGGTTTGTGGCTGTGTGGCAGCTGGGGGCTCTGCCTCTTCAGCTTCACACTTCTTTGGGCTCTCCTGTTAACAGACAGCCAAGACAAACACCACAAAGGATTTAAACCTGCTAGGTTCCTTTCCTTCCACTTGGAACTAGAAAAAGGCAGCATAGGACACACCTGGTACCATGTTCACACATAGCCCTCTTTTATCTTTTTTATTTTAGAATATGGAATGGAGTGTGGCTTAAGGATAGGTCCTTTAAGACTTTCTAACTGGGCCTGGTGGCTTAGGCCTGTAATCTCAGCACTCAGGAGGCTGGAGTAGGAGGAGTGCAAGCTTCAGGTCAGCCTGGGCTACATAGTAAGACCCTGTCCTAAAATAGAAAGTAGTAAAAACAGGTCTAGAGACATAGCTTAACGGTACTACTTGCCTAGTATGTGTAAGGCTGTATGTGGGTTTCATCCCTAGTGCTGGGGGAGGAGGCTTCTATGAGAGCTGAGAATGTGGCTCTGTGGTTGAGTACTTGCCTAACATGTACAAGACCCTAAGTTCCATCCCTAGCACTACAAGAGAAAGGGGGTGGGCTTTCTACGGCAGCATTCTCAGTATTTACTAGATAGGAGTGAGGATTGTGGGGATTGAGCCTGCGGTATCTTGCTTGCTCAGCACGCACTCTATCACTGAGCAGTAACCCCTAAAATTCTCTCGAACCCCCCCCCCCGCAGATTTTTTCTGCGAGAGGGTCTTGCTGTATCACCCAGGCTGGGCCCTGAATTCAAAGTAATCCTCCTGTCTCAGGCTCTTTAGTACTGAGATTATAGGCTATACCATCATGCCTGGCTCTAAAACGATTTCTCTCTTTATTAAATTGAGAAAAGGCTTCCCCTTGGGGGTAGATAAATGAAGAGTTCTGAGGAAGGACTAATCTTCTGTTATTTGGAGATGAAAACTCTGTTCAACTTTATACAGAGCTTCCACTAACCAGGAGTTGGCAATGAGTAAAGACTGCAAATGCACTGTGATGTGCATACCTCCACACAGGGACAAGTACAGGCCACACACATGCACACTCACACACAAAATAAATAAATGTTAAAAGAAACAAAAGGATTAATAGGTGTTAAAAGAAAAAAAAGGATTAATAGGTGTCCTCAACCCCCTGCATTTCTTGAGTCCTGTCCAGATTTTTTTTTTTGGGGGGGGGGTCTTTTTGAGACAGGGTCTCCCTGTAGCCCCAGCTGTCCTGGAACTAACTATGTAGACCAGGCTGGCCTTGAATTCACAGAGATCTGCCTGCCTCTGCCTCCCAAGTGTTGGGATTAAAGGTGTGCGCCACCACGCCCGGCTCTGTCCAGATTTTTTGATTCTGCAGTTAAGACAAATGGGGAGGCTGAGGTAGGAAGACCATGAGTTTGAGGGTGGCCTGTGCTACACAGCAAGACCCTATCTCAGAAACACTAAAAAACAAACAGGAAAATGATGTCTCATCCCCAGTACCCTCTAGGGAAGAGATGCAACAGCCTACCTGCTCTGGCTGTAACCTCAGGAGCACATGCTTTTCGGTTGGCTCAGGCTGGCTCAGATGCCTCACGGGGAGAGAGGATGAGGAGGTAGAGGTCCCTGCCTTTGGTTCAAGGACCTGCAGCTGTGCCACCGGTGGAACTGCAACCTCCTGAGTAGAAGAGGGATCTTTGGTTTCAGCATAGCTGGTGTTGCTATCCCTGGAGACTCCAGGACTCAAAGACTGAAGAAATGAAATGAAACAGGCAAATTACTTCATATTGTATATACTGGGGAAGAGATAATTATGAATGGATGGTATATATTCAGAAGATCAATTATATTTCCAGCTTTTTTTTTTGCAACAGGGCCTGAAGTAGCCCAAACTAGCTTTGAATTTGGTATGTAGTGAGGATGACCTTGAATTCCCAATCCTTTTGCTTCTACCTCCCAAGTACTGGAATTGAAGGCATGTGCCATCATCCCTGGCCTTCCTCTAGTTTTGTCTCTGTCTTGTTTAATGATCTCCAACTATCTAGTCAACAAATTTACTAAGATTTACACCCTCAAGAAACTTATGTGTTTAGCAGTAGAGTAAGTGGATTCAACATTCTCTGTAATAACCAAAGGGATTCAGAATGAAAAGGGACCCCAGTTAGTGATCAATGAATTGATTCTATAATGAAAGGAAAGTTAACAGTGATCTGGAGCTTAAAGGAGGCCTCTTCTATTGATGTTAAAAATGATTGCAGGGTTTTCAGGGTTTCAAAATTACTGAAGCACACACAGGATCCTTCATACTCACTTTCCTGCTGCTGCTTGATGCCGAACGGGAACGGGATCGGGAACGAGACCTGGACTCTGATGTTGACCTGGAGCCCGTCTTGGGTCTATCATGAGGGTTGGCATGAACTCGTGCTTGGGATACATCTCTCTGCTTGGATCTTGGAGATGAGTGACACTGGGAGGCTGAACTGTCAGGAGAGCGAGATCGGGATCTAGAACTAGAGGAGGATGAGGACCGGCTAGAGGATGAGTTTGCTGACCGCTTCAATCTGCGGCTTGGGAAAAGCATATGAGAAGCCCTTTGGCCTTCTTTCTGTTCCAAAGACTGATGCTTCATAGGTTCCTCAGTGATCCCTTTGGTGGGTGCTAATTCCTCTATTTTTAGAGGGAGTGGGTGAGCAGATGTTTCTGACTCAGTTTCAGGGCCCTTCTGGGTAGAGTCTTCAGTCAGCATTTTTTTCTGAACCAGAGGCAGGACACTCTCCTCTGACACTCTCCCTGTTGAAGATTCTGCTTTGGTGTCTGTAGGACTTGACAAAGGGGACAGGCCTTTCACCAACTGGATACTATGCTGAGACACTAAGAGCTCCCTGGTTTCAGCATCTGCATTAGGAGGAGATAACTGAATGAGGACAGGCGGCGCAGGGCCTTCCACAGGCTCGACTTCTTCCTCATCCTGGCGTTGTATATGAGGTGGTGGAGATGATGCTTCCTTGGTAAGTAAGGGTGGGGGAGTTTCCACCTCACTGACTGTTTGCCCTGGCTGTAGCACAGTAGAGGCCTTCTCCAAATCTTCAGTCAGCTGAGGTGGGGAAGGGGACTGTGACTTTTCCTCTAAGCCCTGTGAGGATTTTATTTCGTTTTCTTCCTGAAGGAAAGAAACTATCTCTGTCTCTTGCTGCTGTTTGGCCAGATGACTTCTTCTAGATTCTTCCTGGGATCTTGTGACTCGCCCTCCTTTCTCTAATCCTTCCTGTTCCTGGGGTCTTACGGTTTGGGGTCTCTCATCCAGTACCTCTTCTGGTTTTGCTCTGGGGACCTCTTCCCCCTCTTCATCCTCAAACTGTTTCAGGACTGGTGCCTCTCTAGATTTCTGTCCCTCATCTACATCGTCCTCCTCTTCATCATCCTCTTCCTCCTCCTCCTCTTCCTCCTCTGTTTTTAAATTTCGATCTCCTCTGATTCTCAGATTTCTAGATGGCGTTTCTTGATCTTCTTCTTCCTCAGCAGCCTGGCTGCCCTCAGAGAGTTTGGATGCTTTTGCCTGAAAAAAGAGAGACACAATGGCTTCAGGTACATTTGTTCATATTTAACAGAGGAGAAAAAAGTATCTCATAGGATACTCTTAGGAAGGAGAGTTCAATGACATACATGTTCAGCAACACAAACACATGACACAGTAATCACACTATAGTTCTTTACCCCTGAAGAATAGTGAACAAAAGGAACACAATAATGAAACTGCTCTAATTCATTTTTTAGCTTTACAGCTTTAAATTTATTTTATATTTTATTATTATTATTATTATTATTAGTCTTTTTGAAGCAGGGTCTCCCTGTAGCCCCAGCTGTCCTGGAACTCACTATGGAGACCAGGCTGGCCTTCAACTCAGAGAGATCCACCTGCCTCTGCCTCCCAAGTGCTGGGACTACAGGCATGCACTACCACGCCCGGCTTACTATTTTTTACCTTTTTTTTTTTTTTGAGACACGGTCTCTTTGTAACTCCAGCTGACCTAGAACTCACTATGTAGATCAGGCTGGTCTTGAACTTACAGAGATCTGCTTGTCTCTACCTCCTAAGTGCTGGGATTAAGCCACCACACTCAGCTATTATTTTTTATCTTATGTGTATGAGTGTATCTCCTGCATGGGTGTAAGTGTATCCATGTTGTACAATGTCCAAGGAGGTCAGAAGAGGGTGTCAGATCCCCTGGAACTGGAGTTATGGACAGTTGTTAGCTGCCATATGGATGCTGGAAATCGAACCTGGGTTCTCTGCAAGAGTACACAGTGCTCTTAACCACTGAGCCATCTCTCCAGCCCCTGCTTTATACTTTTACAATAAATATGAGCAGATCACCTAGAAAGCAGGTTTTTTTTTGGCCTATTTGAGACAGGGTCTCCTGTAGCCCCCAGCTGGCCTCGAACTCACAAAGATCTGCCTGCTTCTGCCTCCTAAGTGCTGGGATTAAAGGCATGTGCCACCACACCTGGCCTATTATTTTTTTTTAAATATATTTTATTACTTTTGTGAATTGCTTGCATGTAAGTACACCCGTGTCATGCAATGCCCAAGGAGGTCAGAAGAGGGTGTTGGATCCCCTGGAACTGGAGTTATGGACCACTGGTTGCTGCCATGTGGGTGCTGACAAACCTGCATCCTCTGCAAGAGTAGCCAATGCTCTTAGCTGCTGAGCCATTCTCCAGCCCTTGTCACTTAGTACTACTTATAACATTTTTCTTTTTTTTTCTTGTCATTTCATCTCTCTGAGTTATAATACTACACCCCGCCTCCACTCCCCCTCCACTTTCTTTTTGAGATTAGGGTCTTAAGCCCAGTCTGGCCTCAAACCCAGTGACCCTCCTATCTCTGCATCCTGAGTGCTGGGAGTTCAGGGGTGTGACACCAATACCTAGGCCTGTCATATCTTTGCATAGTCAATTACACTATACATTCACTTTTGCATTGTGCTCCCTTAACATTTCATATACTTTTTTTGTTTTTTTGAGACAGGGTCTCACTATGTAGACTAAGCTGACCCTGAACACAGAGAGATTTGCCTGTCTTTGCCTCCCAAATACTGGAATTAAAGGTGTGTACCAGCATGCCCACCTCTGTTTCATGTAGTTTTAAGGTTTTAATGGAATGATTATGTCCCATCTTGTCTTATGTGTTTTAATATAGACCAGGGGCTGGAGAGATGGCTCAGCTGTTCTTGCAGAAGACTTGGGTTTGAATCCCAGCACCCACATGATGGATAACAACAGTACATAACTTTAGTTCCAGGGGATCTATAGCCCTCTTCTGTCCTCCACAGGCACTGCATGACATGGGTGTACTTACAGACATACAGGCATAAGACTGCTACACATAAAATAAAAATAACTAAATAAAAATTAAAAAGAATATAGACCAGCCTATTTCCTTTTTTTAATTTAAAAAATTATACAATTGTGTGTGTGTGTGTGTGTGTGTGTGTGTATACTTGTGTGAGTGCCACTGCATGTATGTGAATGAACACCTTGGTTCTCTTCTTCCACCATGTGGGTCCTAGGGACTGAACTCAGGTCATCAGGCAAGTACCTTTACTCACTGAGCCATCTTGCTCTCATTATTTGCATCATATATATACATATACATATGTATGTTGACAGCATGGTAGCACATGTCTGTAACTCCAGCATTGGGAAGGTGAGGCAGCAGTCTTTTTCCAGTGAGACCCTGTCTCAAGAATTAAACAAAAGTTAAAAATATAAGTATCTATCTAGGGGCTGGAGAGATGGCTCAGCGGTTAAGAACACGGCTGTTCTTGCAGAAGACCTGGGTTCAAATCCCAGCACCCACATGGCAGCTAACAACTGTCCGTAACTTCAGTCCCAGGGGATCTGACAGCCTCTTCTAACCTCCACAGGCACTGCATGACACAGGTGCACTTATCTATATGCGGGCAATACAAGCATACATATAAAATAAAAAATAAAAATATTTTTAAAAAGTATCTGTCTAAAAGTCTGAAAACCAAAGCAGATCTAAATAACAAAACTACAAAAATAACATTAAGGGGCTAGAGAGATTGCTCGGTGGTTAAGAGAACTTACTGTTCTTGCAGAGAAACCAGGTTCAGTCCCCAGCACCACCTGGCAGCTAACAATGGTTATAACTTCAGTCCCAGGGGATCCAATACCCTCTTCTGACCTCTGAGGGCATTACATGACATGGGTGCCCTTACACACATGCAGGCAATATACTCATACACATAAAATAAAAACAAAATATTTTGGAAAAAAAAACCCACCCAAAATAACATCAAAAAGATGACAAAAATCAGAAAGAAGTGATTACATAGAAATCTAGACACTGACTCACAAACAGTCTGAGAAGGAAAAAGCAGCCAAAGCACTGGATGAAGTGTTGCATGCTCAGTAGGTCTGAGTTACCTGTCTGACCCGGGATGATCGTCTTTCTCCTTTCCTTGGTTTCTCATCATCAGATTCACCTTTCTCTTCAGAAAAAGAGGTACTCTTTCCTATCAAATAGAAGAAAACCAAGTCAGATTCATGACATAAAAGCACTCATTCATGACTTTTTTTTTTGGTTTTTTGAAACAGTCTCCCTGTAGCCCCAGCTGGCCTGAACTGACTATGTAGACCAGGCTGGCCTTGAACTCAGAGATCTGCCTGCCTCTGCCTCTCAAGTGCTGGGACTACAGGCTGGGGCCACCACGCCTGGCTAACTTTTCTAAAACCCAACCAATCATGACCTACATGTTTCTTAGTACATATCTTTATACGTTTAGTTCATATCCAAGCTTGAGACTAAGTGAGCCCTGAGGGTTCTTATTAATGACTCTTGTTGTGCAAGGTGGGAATATGCTCAATACCTCAAAGTCCAATTAACGTATTACAATTAACTCAAAAGCAAATGTGCAAGAACTTTAAGTTGTTTATCAGGGATACAGAACTAAAAGGTGTGCCTATTTGTATAGAGTGTTCTGTTATCCTGAAGCAGAACTGAAGATTGTACCATTCTGAAGTCGGGAGTGATTTTGGAAGCCAAGGCCTGAAGACTGCCAGGAGTTCTAGGCCAGCATGAGCTACATGGTGAGGTCTAGGCCAGCCTGGAACACACTGTGAGACTGACCCTTGTCTCAAAAACAAAACACAAGAAACAAACAGCAAAACAAACAAAATAGGAAAAAACAACAATCAAGTCTTTACTCCTCTGTATTCATCTTTTTTCTCCTTCCTTCCAGTACTGGGAACTGAACTTAGGCCCTTGTCTATGCTAAGTTAGCACTCTACCATTGAGTTACATCCCCAGCCCCTTCTTTGGCTTGAAAGGGTATTTACTGTAGCCCCGGCTGGCCTGGATATTTCTTCCTCAGATTCCTGAGTGCTGGGATTTACACACCTGAGCCATGCTAATTCTATTTGCTGGGTTTCATCAAAATATTATAATGTACCAATCTGTACATTATAAACTCGAGAATTAAGTACAAAAGTTGTTTTGTTGTTGTTTTTAAAGGGCAGTTAGGGATACAGCTCAGGAGTATGGAGTGCTTGGCCAGCAAGTAAAACATCCTAGGTTAAACCAATACCAAAAACTAAAAAAAGGAAAAGAAGTACACAGACAACTTTTTCAGGGTCTTAAAGTTCCTAGAAATTAATTCAAGCTAATTGGACAGGGCTTCAGGACTGGGTTATCTTAAGTATGTTTTATACACTGTAGCTCCAGTTAGACTTTTTCCCCCATGGGAAAAAAGGTATCTTGACAACTAACATCATCCAGATCATCATCCAGAATAAATTCATGTAAAACTGAAAACAGTATCACCACCATTCCATATGGACAAATCACTTAAAGTAGTTTGAGTCTCAATGTCTCAACTAAGAAAAAGAAGAGAGCCTACTGTGGTAGTGCACGCCTTTAATTCCAGCACTCAGAAGGCAGAAGTGGGTGGATCTCTCGAGTCTGAAGTCAGCCTGGTCTACACAGTGAGTTTCAGACAGCCAGAGATACAAAGTGATACCCTGCCTAAAAAAATGACTGAGTGAAAGTAATAAAGAAAGGAAAGCAACAGAGAGGAGATGAACTAGACAACTGTTTTCTACCAGTATTAGAATATTACACAGAGGGGCTGGGGTACAGCTCTGTGTGTGGCAAAGATATGCAGAATGATAATATGAGTGATGTGAACTAGTTTAGAGGACAAAGAGGCAGGGTATTATTTAGTAGTAGAATACTCGTCTAACATGCGTGAAGCTGGCTTCTGGGTTCAATGCCCAGCACTGGAAAAAAAAGTATAATTATATTCCAAATTTAATCAGCTAGATTTGGGCTCAAGTTTAATATAGCACAGGAAGTTTAAATGTAGGCTGGAGACACAGCTCAGATGTTTAGTGCCTGCCTAATAGGTACAAGGCCTTAGGTTCAACCTCAAACACCACTCCCTGAAAAAGTTTAATCAACACACACAAAACCATGTTTTACATTCATTGTATTTAAACTAGAGAAAATGATTCAGATGATATAAGTGCTAACCCAAGATCTTCTATTTTATATCTATATCCCAATAATCTAAAATGAACTAGGCTTTGCTTCTAAAATAACAAAAAAACCAAAGTAAAACTAATAAAATGAACTAGAAGACTGCACACATTAGAAAACTTTATTCAATGATCATCTGAAGGTCTAGCATTTCATATCTAGGTGAATAAAGAACTGAATTAAAGCTGTTTAGACAGGAAGAATGTGATACATAGTGACAGTCCAGACTACTGCAAACATCTGAAAGCATCTTAAGACATCAGTGACTAGATTACATAATTTCATAATTCAGTGAATGAAATAGGTCAAATTATAAAACAAAGCTGAAAGAATTTTCCATGAATTTTAAGCAAAGCTCCTTTACAGCAGAAGAGAAAGAAGTAAATGTATCCTAATTTAAGCCAAAACAAGGCCAGGCATGGTGATATATGCCTGGATTAATCACAGGACACGGGAAATGGAAAAAAAAGGGCAAGGAGTTCAAGGCTAGCCTGGGCTTCATGTTGACTTCAAGGCCACAAAAAGTGAGACAGTAAGCTCAAAAAAGCAAGGGCAGGTGGCACATACCTTTAATCCCAACACCCAGGAGACCGAGGCAGGCTGGTCTCTGTGAATTCAGGCCAGCATAGTCTACATAGCAAGTTCCAGGCCAGCTAGGGCTACGGGAAGACCCGTCTCAGAAAGACCAAAAAATGGAGCTGGAGAGACGGCTTCGGCTAAGGGAACTTGCTGCTCTTCCAGGGGATCTGAGTTCAGTTTCTAGCATCCACATTGGGTGGCTCACAACCACATGTGCTCTAGCTCCAGGGGATCCTGCACCATCTTCCAGCCTCTGTGGGCACCCACATACTCATGGCATTTACAGACTTACACTCAGATACAAATAAATAAAAGTAATAAAAATAGCCAGGCGTGATGAACATGCCTTTAATCCCAGTAGTCAGGAGGCAGAGGCAGATAGATCTCTGTGAGATCAAGGTCAGCCTGATCTACATAGCGAGTTCCAGACCAGCTGGAGCTACAGGGAGACCCTGTCTCAAAAGAGGACCCCCCCCCAAAAAAATCATTTTTTTTTTTTTTAAAAAAAAAGCAAGGGTTAGAGACATAGCGTAGCAGAACAGTGCTGGTCTACCATGGAATCAAATCACAACCAATGAAAAAAAACTGAAATGAAACAGGTGTATATAAAGTAGGTTAGAAAGGGGCTGGAGAGATGGCTCAGCAGTTAAGAACACTGGTTGTTCTTGCAGAAGACCCAGGTTCGAATCACAGTACCCACATGGCAGCTAACTACTGTCCGTAACTCCAGTCCCAGGGGATCTGACAGACTCTTCTGACCTCCTCAGTCACTGCACAACACGGGTGCACTTACCTACATGCAGGCAATACATGCATACACATAAAATAAGTAAAAATTAAGTAGGTTAGAGATACATTTCTTTATGGGCAAAAGAAAGTTTTATTGAGTTGCAATTTTAAATTAAATATACACAAGATTAACAGCTTCATCCTGCACCTACTGTAAACTGTAGGCTACTGAACTATATTTTTTGAAATATTTATTTATTTATTTATTTATTTATTTATTTACTTTTGGTCTTTTTGAGACAGGGTCTCCCTGTAGCCCCAGCTGGCCTGGAACTCACTATCTGCCTGCCTCTGCCACCTGAGTGCTCGGATTAAAGGCATGCGCCACCACACCCGGCTACTGAAATTTTTATTTATTTTTATTGATGTGTATGAGTGTATTGCCTGCATGCGTGTTAAGTGCACCCGTGTTGTGTGGTGTGTGCGGAGGACAGAAGAGGATGTCAGATCCCCTGGGACTGGAGTTATGGACAGTTGTTAGCCACCATGTGGGTCCTGGAATTTGAATTTGGGTCTCCTGCAAGAACAGCCAATGCTTTTAACCGCTGAGACACCACTCCAGCCCCTGAACTATGTTACTATTATTTTTTTTTCTTTCTTGAGACAGGGTCTCCTTGTAGCTCCCGCTATCCTAGAACACACTATGTAGACCAGGCTGACCTCGAACTCACAGAGATCTGCCTGCCTCTGCCTCCCAAGTGCTGGGACTAAAGGTGTGCACCACCACACCGGGCTGAACTATGTTATTTAAAAAAAATTTTATTGGCCAGGCGTGGTGACTCACACCTTTAATCTCAGCACTTGGGAGGCAGAGGTAGGCAGATCTTTGTGAGTTTGAGGCTAGCCTGGTCTACACAGTGAGTTCCAGGACAGCTGGGGCTACAAGGAGACCCTGTCTCAAAAAACACACACACAAAAAAAAAAATTTATTATTTTTATTTTATGTGTATGAGTGTTTTGCCTGTATGAGTGTAAATGCACCATGCTGTACAATGCTCTGAGACCAGAAGAGGGCATTGGATTCCCCTGGAACTGGAGTATGGACAGCTGTTAACTGTCATGTGGGTGCTAGGAATTGAATCCAGGTCCTCTGCAAGAGCAGCCAGTGCTCTTAACTGCTGAGCAGTTTGTTTTCTTGAGACAGGGAATTGCTATGTATCCCGAACTCTTCCTATTCTGCTGCTGGTTTCCTGAGTGCTGAGACTTTGGGAATATGCACCATACTCAGAAAAGTAGTTTCTTTATCCCAGTAAACAAGTCCCTGGTCAGAATTTATAGGACCCAAGTAAGGCAACTACAGATCACAGCCAAGACTACAAACAGGGTACCCTTAGATATGCATAAGCAGTAGCAATGAAGACACCTGGTAATAATCCAAACTTAAATAGTACTTAGTCTTCTTAGGAATTTGTTCAGCATTTCCCTAGAGTCTCACATTCCAGACTTGTGGAAAGGAGTAGAGCTAAGACAAAGGCTGGGTCAGCACACCTGTGCTTGGTATCTTGTTATAGAATCTGTGTGGACAGTGGGGAGGAAGGTCAGGGAAGAAGCCGATGTTCCAAATACACATTTCAATATGTGTTTATATTTTTCCTACTATAAGTGGGTTTT